AGGAGGAGGAAGGAGTATTAGGTATGTTTGCCGCCTTGAGTTATTTATAAAAATAATAAAGGCGGAATAAAAAAATCTTTTAAAAAATTGCTGCAAGGAAACGAATAGAAAAATAACAGAACGAGGACTGGATATCACACTATTTCATATATTTCTACTACAATTGTACACAAAATGGAAAATGTGCTTTGTTTCAACCCTGAAACAAATACAGTGACTTCTGGAAATTCCACTGAACTTCAGCAGAAACAAAACCTGGAATGTTTTTGTTTTTCTATGTTTTGGCCAAAACAAACCCACAGAGATCTTGGGTTTTACTGGTCAAGGCTGGTGCACAGCAAACTTTCTGTATTCTGCCACTACCTTTTCCACAGGGTCTGTTCATTTGTTACTCAATAGACAAAGCAGCTCTCAGTAAGAACTATCTCTCTAGACAGCCTGCCCATCAATTTTCCTTCTCTTCCTCCCTGCCCTGAGCTGCTACCGATGTCCAGATAGCAAAAGGAGGGAGAGATATAAGCTCTGTGGCCCATGAAGGACACAGCGGCTACAAGGGGCTATTCCCTCTACGTTTTTTTTCACTGCTTCTGCCATCACCACAGGAGTCATAGGCACATGCTCCTCCAAAGAATAACCCTTGGATTTTTACCACTTGTGTTTGGATGTTTCCATACATCTCTGGAATAAAACAACTGTGTTTTATTCTATATCCAGACCAAAAAAGCATGTTTTGGTTCAGGCACAAACTACAAGAAACCACCTGTTCTGCGCAGGAGAGTCTGTGTAAACAAATATTTCAGTGAAAAGAATGAAGCTTGGCAACGTCATTCACTACTCCTTCCTCAGCACTCTAGTTGCTAAACGGTAGCTGATGGCTTAATTTATTTTATAAGCACAGATTTGTTCAACTGCTATTCACCTTTAAAACAAATTACTTAGTTGCAAAACACAGGATTTATATAGCTTAAAATGATACCATAAACATCTGATTATGCAAACCACACAGAATAAAATATATTTAAAGAGAAATGTTTCCTTAGTACTTTCCTTAGATTCAGAGGACACTCATCTGTGAGCTAATACTACAAATCCTATTTATTTGTAAGTAAATATCACTCAATGAAATGCATTTATTTCCAAATAGATATATGAGAACAAATAGGCCTCAATGTCCAGAACCTTTTATAAGAAAGGATGATTGGTTACTGGATACAGTTTCTCAGTGATATGAAAAATAAGTATCAATGCTATTGGGCTAGAAGTCCCATCAGCGTTTTTAACTTATGAACTGACAAATTATAGAGTTCTGGCTAGAGAATTAGTTCATCCTATGGACTATGTGTTGATATATTGCAATGACATTCACTATTTCTTCAGTCTAGAACAGCGATGGTGAACCTTTTGGGCTCGGCATGTCAAAAATTTGGAAAATGCCTAACTTGACTTTGCTGGTGTGTCACCCCCCCTCAACAAATGAAACAATTCTTTACATATTCATTTATTGTTAAAAAAATACAGTCCAATCATGTGTGGTGCTATGTATTATGTAAAGAAACATCAAATAATTACAAAAATGAAATACAGGTAAAACAAACTCAGTTTTTTTGGTAACTCAAACAGGGAGAATAGTTGGTTTTGATGAATGCTGGCGTGTCACCCAAACGTCGTGGTGTGTCACCTTTGATACGCATGTCATAGGTTTGCCATTACTGTTCTAGAAGAATATTACTTTGAATCAAGGATTACAGTACATGGACAATCTTGACATGAGCACCCCATAAGAATGAAAATGAGGACTTCAGAGTATATCAAATATTTAGGGTCAACAACAGGGGACACAGTAAACAGTGTCAGAATTTTTAGGAGGAGGAAAAGGGTTCAACTGGCAAAAGAGAATAGGAGAAAAAGCAAGAAACTCCATAAAATAACTGCATTTATTTATTTATTTGACTTGCATAGCCACCCATCTTATGTACCATAACCTTGGGCAGCTCACAGAACAACAATAAAAACATAAAACTATTTTAAAAACCACAAAAACTCCCAGTGCCACAAAGCAACACCTCTTCACACACCTACATTCAACTGTACTGGGCTCCAGTCTCACTCTACCTCAATGCTTGCTGAGTTTCCTCTCATCCAAGGACAGCTCTTCCCAGGGATTTCCTTACATAGTATCACACTGTGCTGGCTGAATTCACAGCACTAAAGCAAAACCCACGATTCTTGCCAAGCACATTTATTTCTCAAAAAACATTACAGTAATATTTCTTTAACCTTGTCAAAGCTTCATCTGTTGCAGCTGTGTCCATACTAATTCTATAATCACTAAGCTAATTTTTTTGCCTTGCATTATGGAATTTGCAAACAGATCCTAAGTATTTTTATCCGTAAGTAAAACTTACCTAGCTTAGTGGAACTCGCATCCCAGCTGAAAATCATTGCTAAGCTGCAAAAATAAAAGCCTTATCTCAGTTTAGAAATCTCAGCCCTCCTCTATCCAAACCTAGGTTGAAAACATTCATGCCATGATTTTAAGGGCTGGTTCATACACAATACTAAGTAATAGGGAATGGATTCATACATTTCAGATTTGTTTAAATACTCCAGGATCCAATTAACTTTCTGAAATGTCCTATTATGTAACACCATAGGAAAATCTAACACTCTGGCAGAAAGAAAATATATCTCTGATACATAGCTTTATTTGAACCTAGTTGAAACAGAAAAATCATTACAGCGATGTTCCATCTCTACACATATTCAAGTCTTTCCAAAGTATGACAACATTAATAAAACACTGGGTTTGGCAAAAACTTTTATTATAAATTACAATTAAACTCTGCGTTTCAGAAATGAGATATATAAACATAATCTTAAATGGAATAAAAAAACTGCACCACTTGCATTTTCTCTCAGTCCAGAGAAAAAGCAAATCAACCACTAATAATTTTTTTAAAATTTCTATCTCTATATCATTATTTTGCTCTAGAACAATTGCTGGTTTTGGCTGCTATAGCAAAAATAAGAAACTTGTTAAAAACTAACAGATGAATTAAGATTGTTAAGCTTCCATGCCTATGATTGAGTCAATGAAAATGTAATAAATATGTCAGTCTGTGAGGCACTAAAAGGCTGACTGCATTTCTGTGTAAAACTTCCCTACCTATTCATCATAATAAATGACTAGCTTAATTTGAAATGTTAAAGTCCCATTCGGATTGGGTCACTTGTTTTGATAGTTCAAGATTACTACCCTTAAACTGTATGACAAAATATAGTCAATAAGCACTTTTATCTGTCAAGGGGAGCCATGTACCACAGTCTTATACACATTTAATCAAAAGCAAGTACCACTGAGTTTCTAAATGTTATATGATTGCAGCCTTCAGCATATACCTTCTTCCCAGTAAAATCAGTGGAATAAATGGGTAATATCGCAACATGTTCTGGAATACCACTTCAAGATAATGTTTTAAGATTTTCAATTCTGGCCTGCATTATAAACATGATAAAGCATTTCAAAATTTAAAAATGTAAACAAAACCATTCAATAAAAATATCATTGTTCTTAAAGATTGGAATCAAAGTTGAATTACATTAAAACCTTTTTAAAATTTTGGGTAGAATAAAAAGCTTCATCTGGCCCCGTAACAATAGTCTGGTTAAAACCTCTCTGGGCTTATGACTTCTAAAGACAGAAATGAACAAATCCTTCCTATAAACATTTGTAGCTCAAGCTTAAAAACAGAACTTATCAAAGCTAATTCAGTTCTGGTACAATGTATTCTCAGTGACTAGTTCCAGCCACATTCTGTCCCACTTGAGTAGACTTCACTGTCAGCCCAATATAACAGATCATAGTATTCCAGGTAAGAAATTACCAGACTATGAATAACTGGCCATTTTACCTTGCACTAGAAAGACCATAGTTGGTATATTAATCTACATTAATATAAATCAACAGATTTAGATTTGAAAAGCAGTACTGTATCCTCCAAAGAGCAAACAGGAAAACAGAAATTCTATCCAAAGCATTTTGAATGCCAGATCCTCAAACTACTGAATTATCAATTATCCTACTACCAAAACCAGGAACCTATTTAGTATCTCCACTATCTTAGATAACTGAAGTTAAAGAGAATAAAACTCAGCATCATTAGTGTGCTGATAGCACCTCAGAACAATACCAATATTTTTATCCAGTCCCAGATTTTCATTTCCAAGATCCCAACCAAAAGGCATAGCTATCCATATACAGGGGGACAACAGCACACACTGTACATCATGACATCATAATGCAAATGATATAAGTTATATACTTGTATCAGACACCATGATGTGACACAAGCAGATTATATAATCATATTTATGCGGTACAATCATTTTGACATCACTGTGGCTTATAATAGATGTTTATGCCAGCAGTGTATCATGGCCAATAGTATGAAAACTGCTGAGTAGTCCAGGGAACTAACAAGAGCAATCTCTACCCCAGCATATTATTTAGAGTTGTGCATTCTTCAGAAGTACAAGCCTGAGAAGAATGCAGAGCACACACAGCTACATTCTGTGAATTTCATTAACGCAGCATAAAATAGTTATTCACTGAAAGCTCATTAACAACTTCTGGTATCACTTTGAAGGTTTGCAAGATCAACAGCTACAAGACAACTCACATGAGGGAAACTGTAAAACAAGCAAAGCACAACTGAGAGAACAAATCAAAACATGTACCATAATCTACAGACCTTGAACACCGATTCTTAAAACCCACACCATACTGTGGAACACAAATGCAATTTTGCTAATTTTATTTATACATTTAACAAACTTATCAATTACCTATGCATTCTGTGGTAATCTATACACAGAAATTAATGTATTGCTGAAATCCTGAAGTTAATTACTACAAATACTCTTTGTTTAGCAACTACCTTGATTAGCAACTGTTCGCAAATATGATAGTAATAAATGGTAGTAAAAAAAATCATTTTTTGACCAATGCACACACAACCAGATTTCTGCATCTGACAACAATGCAGTGAGAGTAACGCTGGCAAAGCTGCACAAGATAATTTTATCTAAAAGAGACAGCAGCAATGAGCTATCTTCACAGCATCTCTCAGTCACATGTTTGCTTAGTGACCATTTCACTTAACAACAAGTTGTTGGAACAGATTGTGTTTGCTAAATGAGGAGTTGGTCTAGTAGGTGCATGAAATTCAATAGGGAACTCTCTCTAGGTTAGCGTGCAGAGTCTTTGGCTCATGGGGCTTTCCTCCTCATCCCATCTCGTCTTCCATACAATAAAAATTATTTTTAATCCAACAAAAATTGGATTAAAGAAAGTCCTATTTTAAAAAATCTGTTACACACAAGTAGATTTTCAACAGCAGGGCAGTTGGGGAAATAAGGGTTATCCCTTCTTTTCTCCACACTGCAAGCCACTGAAATTCTTTCCGCCAGAAAGAATTATACCTCCACATCAATCTTGGTAAGTATCACTCAGCTGTAGATTTAATTAGGGCTAATCCTAACCCTAACCCCACCCTCTAGCCAGCAATGTATCTTGAATGGACCAGGTTGAGAAAGGCTGGTCTAATAATCAGAACAAGGAGGGCAGTTTTCACTAGAAATTACATCAGAAACTGTTGACAATCCATTTTAAAAATTAACCATTCATGGCAAGGCACAGAGATATCTTTTTCATGCTGGCACTACCAGTATCATAACAAGAACAAATGGGTAACAATAGAAAGCACCAAAAACCAATAACTCTTGTTCAATTCTTACTCAGCTATCCTTAGTGCAAAATGCTATTTCTCAGCCTCAGTTCCTTATCTGTAAATGAAAAATGTAACATTAACACCTTCAAAATTTGCAGCAAAAAAGATAAACATGCCACAGCACAACCCTCCATAAAGCATGTCTAAATCTACTTTCTTCAATTATTTTAAGAATGCTACATTGTAGTCAATGTTAACACATGGCATTTTATGATAATTAAATGGTAAATAGTAACAGTATTAAAATAAGATCCAAAACTTAGCAGATCAATCATTCTTCCTCAATTCTGTGGGTGTAATGCATGGCTGTTCTTAGTAGGAGCAATTTGTTTAGCAATTCTGATCATGAATACAGTAAGATTCTAGTTAGTGACTCTTTTTCATTAAAAATGGAATACAAAACAGCTAATAAAACTGAAAGCTAGAATTATAATTACACACATATAAATTAAAAACTCAAAACAGAGAGAGCAAGTGTGCTGCAATACTTAAGATTTTGGACTAGGCTCAAAGAGACCCAAATTTAAGATTACACTCAGCTATGGAAGCTCACTAGGTGACTTTGGGCCAGACACTCTCAACCCAACCTCCCTCACAGTATTAATACTGAGAAAAATGTACTATGTACTTTTTGTTAAACACTTCAAAGTAAAATTGGATATAACTGTAAATGTATTATTATTCAATAAAATATGCAATAAGCACCCAAGAAAAATAAATCTAATTTCAGAGAAGAAAACAGCTTAAATTCAAAATCTCCACCTGACCCAAAACAACTCTGGCTGTCAGCTGAACAAAACCAAAAAAAAAAAAAAAATACTATTTCTGAGAACAGCCTGCTATACCTTGTGATTCTACCAGATGCATCTCTGAAGTTGGCAAAAGAAAAACACCTCCTCACTGATGTTAAAGCCAGGACACACTCATATGAGAATGTGGTCCTATAGATAATTTGATTGCCAGGTGGACATGACTTTTAAAGTCATAAAATCACTTTGAATTATTGCATCTGGAAAGAGCTGTTATATTTCAATATAATAACTTGACCACAGCATCTAGGCCTGGAAGAAACTTCTGAAATTTTTTTCAACAGCAACCCTGTGTCAAGAACACCAAAACAACACTTAGATCTTCTAGGGGAGCACAATCCCATCCAGCATTGAATCAACAATGCCAAATCTGCCTCATCCAGTCCATGACTTACATCAGACACTAATTCAGAATTTGAAGATCTCCCTTGGATTTTATTGGAATAGATAAATATAATTAGTTGTCATCAATCTAAATTATTCCATAAAGTTATCTTTGAAATCGGTTTACATAATATGAGTAAGATATTCAAGTATTATTAATGACCAGAATCCATGCAATATGTTCAGCCTTCGGAAGTAACTTTTATGAGAAGCAGAGAACTAGTAAAGCCCTCATTATGGATGAAAACTCCCCAAACCCTAGCTAATATTTTCTACATTAAAAGATAGTCCAGAGTTTTAAGGACTCGCAGCAAGCTTTACTGGTTTTAGTTATAACTTCTGAATGGCAAATTCATAATGGCAAATCAGACCTATTATTTCATCTGCATTAATTTTTTTACCTGCTGGAGAAAATGTACTACACATATTCAATAATTATGAGGAGAAATAATAAAAATGGCTAAATATTAAACAAGTGCTAGAAACAGAACTTTGGCACAACTATACCTACACAAACAACTTTATAATGAAAGAAGAACCTAGTTCTCTACAGGCTTCCAATCAAAGAGTAAGAATTGCACGGTAAGAGAACGCTTTTAAGCAACCTGTGTTAGGGGCATGGTAAAGTTCTTTTGGATCCTAGAAACATCCTGCATGACATCCATCTATGCCAGGACATCCCAACCCAAAAAGTTTAAATACAGATGAGGGGCCAACTTTCCGAAGACAACACAAATACATATCATTTCCAGAGCAGAGCAAAGAAAATAAATCGTGCCAGCATAATGCGAGAGGGGTTTGCTGATTTTCACCGAAACATACGAGGCACATCGTCTTGTTTTGCTTCTCCATTTTGGGATACTTATTGTTTTTTCCTACCCAGATAATGTCCATGTCCCTAAGTACGGGAAAACACATCTTCTCCCTTACCTCCGAGGCTTCTGACTAATGAAAATGCAGTCCTTTCCTAACAAACTCACGCGAATCCATTCCTGCTCCCTCCTCCCGGCATGGTTTTCTTCAAAATGGCTCCCCTTTAAATATCTCGACTCCCAGCCACAGGCAGCCCTCCTTCTCCCGGGTCCCACTATCTCGAGGGGCGGCTTCTTCCCTTTCCCTCATTTCTTCTCCACGCACACACAGGCCGCTGGCAAACTCCCCAGCAATACCAGGCTCAGCGGTGCCCACGAAGGGGATCCTCTTCTCTCACTTCATTTCAGTTGCTCCGGGAAGCTTGCGGAGGGCTGTCCCTCGATCTCCAGAGCTAACAGAGGTGTCGCAACCAACTTAAGGCTGAACCCCAAGACCCCAGAAAAACGGAAGGGGAGGGGCGCCCCACTTTGCTTTTCACCTGCCCAGTCAAGAGCGCTCCCCGGCCGCCTCCGTGCGTGACGAGGAAGGGAAAAAAAACGGCCATCCGCGCGCTCGCGCCACACAGCGCACGCGCCTTGCAGACATGCCCTTTTCTCTTATTTAAGGCGCAGTCTTACTTTTATCGAGCGCTGTTCCACCCACCGCAGTCCCCTCGGCATCTTTTGCATTGGCCAATCAGAAGAAGAGGGTGAAGTTGATGAGCCCTGCCCTCTCCCTCTTTGAACACCGTAAGGGTTTGGAGTCACGTGGGCATTTCCTAGGGTTAGATTTATATACCAAGGAGGTGGCGGGGGTAGAGGGAGTTAAAGCGGCAGCCTCCCTCGCTTCTCTTTCGGGCGGTTAGAAAAGGTCCGCCGCAAAGGAGGAGGGGTTACCTAAATGTATTGACAAGACCACGTAATATAGATTAGACCGCCCCTTCGTCACCTCTTTTTTTTGTACAATCGGTGGGAGTTCCCTGGCACTCCTGCACAAGGGAGTGTATAGAGAAGTGGTCGTCGTTCTGGATAGTGTGAGTGAAGCTCAGGACAGCGTCTGTGAAAAACCAGTCATGCCGCAAGTTGCATTTCCCCCCGTTGCTGAACTGGTTCAGAAAATTAATATACATGCCTCTGTTCTCTGGGAAGTGTTTTTAATTGCCTGTTATGCGTTGAGAAATATGCATCCCTCAGCCTATTATGACCTAGCTTTGGGTTCCAGCTGATTGTTGCACGGAGTTCTTCTATGCATGCATACTACTACTGTATCTTTGGTTATTACTTTATTATTTGTATATCTTTGGGCTTTTTTCTCTCTTGTACACCATCCAAAGTTGTAAGTTGGGGCAATTAACAAATGTAGTAAGTAAATAAATACAGTTCACCTATCAAGTCCTTTTTGAGGATTCCCTCTAGAAAGTAGATAACCAAGAATTGCATTAATACCTTTCCTCGTTCATTTGCTGGATACATATCCTGCCTTTTCTTGGAGTCCAAGGTGATGTACATAGTACTGTCCAGTTTTTCCCCCACAACAGTAACCCTATGTTCAGACAATATTGTGTTTGCACAACTCTGATCCACAAACCAACGAACCACATTTTGGCCTACTTGAGTTACATGGATCCAGCTTGTTGAATTAACTATTAAGCAAGTCCAGAACTAATGATTAAGTATGGTTTTACCAAAGCTATGTAGCTGGGGATGGAATTTTCCTTTTTCCTTTTAAATTATAAAAGGAACGTTAATGAAATTGGTATGGCTACAGAAAGGGTGGGGTAGTAAAAATAATTACAGTTACTCACCAACAGTTCTTGGCACTAATTCAAAATAAATGTATTCACCCAGGAAGAGGTAGAGAGGAAACAACATCTGTAACTCTTGCTTGGCAGCCGGAACGTGCTCATCCAAAAAGCCTGCTGTGGTGGTGCAACGTATCTGGGACAAGGGTGTAGTCAACATAAGGGAACCATATTATTAAGTGTTTAACAGGCCACACATTCTAGAAAGCAATAGTTTGCTATTCCCTTCAGTCATGCAATATTATTTTTCTGTGATCCAACTACCAGAGATTCATGATCCTTTCTTACAATGAGTACCACATGCAATTTCTGCATTCATTCAGAAAAGTAGCTGCTTTTCTAAAATAAGTAACTAGATATCTTTTTAAGTATTTCACTGGGAATTTAGAGTTTCTGATATTTGCTTTTTATCAGTTAATCAGTGAAGCCTAATAAGCAAAGTAGGACAATCCTGATTCAGTATTTAGAGGAATACTGTTTGAACACTCCCTATATTTTAGGTAGGGATAGATAAAATTTTCTGGTCTCTTGCCAAATCAGTATATCCAATACAGTAGAACCGAATATACGTAGCTCAGGGTTGAACTGTGGAGTCAAATAATGTTACCTAATCGGGTAATGAAACATCTTCAAGCAAACAACCAAGCTCAGAGAACACCAAGGACTCCACAAATCAGTACATTTTTGCTTTTGAATAACATTCATTTGTTGGTTCAGCATCTTTGACCCTCTGCAACTTCGCTTTCTGATGTGTACATGTACCCTGTCCAACTATACATACATATAAATAGATATGCATAAATATTAGGGCTCCATGAAGTGTAGAGCCTTCTGTTTCTCACTGTGTGCTTGAGCCTTGTAACACAAATGTTGATAATGAATTGTAAGGAAATTTTTAAAAAATATATAGCTTAAAGAAAAACAACTTCCTTTGCTCTTTAATTAGAATAAACTTAACTGCTAGGAAGTGCAACTTTTAACTCCTAAAAACATTCCTTCAGATGAAAAGGACTGCCTTATTTGCATGCTGGTGGTAGAAAAAATACGTCTGCCATGGGGTAAGCATTAGCAAATATAATCAGCTGATTTCTTGTGCTAAGCATTGGAGGGAGAATGTGTATACGTAGGTCCAAGGCATCTGCCTTTTTTACTTTGTGCTCCTTTTTGTGAGACAGCATTCCTGTTGAGTGGCACAAGGCCTATTTCATACTTTGTTACAGTAAAACTGCTCCATAACAACTGTACATATGCTTGTCACATTGCTACTTTCCTCTTTAGGGAAGAGTTCTGCGTGATCTTAGGTATATCCTTCAGAAACTGGTCAAAAAGGGTCTGTGTATGTTATGGTTATACCTTTGGGAATTAGATTACTACAAAAAAAAATATAGTATCAAGAGCAGCATCAGCATCAACACTCACCAGCATTTATTATATAGTTGTTTGTTCAATTTACATTCTGCCTTTCTGTTGGCTTGCATATTCATGGTGGGTGTTTATTTTTGAAAAACCTGCCTGAAGAGGCCATTTCTCGGCTTCATGGACTTGTTGTGCTTTTGGTTCAGCACAGTAATGAAGTTCTTTCATTGAGGCCCCACAGCTTTTAATGCCAGCCACAACTACGAGTTTATTTTGCGGAAGAGCAAGCAAACATGTTGCTAAGCAAACATCTACTTCCTTTTCCATAAGTACAGGAAGAGATTTTATAGTATGGCTAAAATCAGAAAGAATGTGGTAACACCTCTTAAGATTAACACATTTTATTTTTCTGACACATAAGCAGCTCACTACATCAGATGCATGGAGTGTCTTGACTGATGTAGGATTAAATACATTGGGATGAAGTGGAGGGAAGGAGGGGAAGACAGGGTGGTTATGCAGAGGAAGATTCTACGGGGGAAAGATTACATCGGGGGATAGGTGTACCACTTCTTTGTCCATTCTCAAATTACATGATTGAACCAACTCTGCTGGTAGTAAGTGTTTTTTAGGATGCAAATGGTTGTTTTATATTTCACTAAAATATGCAGTGAAATAATTAAGAAAAGTATCTTGAAGGATTTCCAAATACTGGCAGGAATGCACTGTGATGTCATCCCTTTACAACTACTACTTGGCTAACAATCCTGGAAATTAACAGTCGAGATAATTCATGAAGGCTTTGTGGTGCAAAGGTCTGCTCATTATCTTGGGAAGCAGTCCCAGATGGTGACCGGTGTAATAGTAAATAATTAATTTGCACATACCTTCTCCTATAAATCATTGAAAGTTCTTACAGTGTAAGTAAGCATGCTTATGAGACCCTCAAATGTTATATTTCACTTCCAAACACATCATAATTAGCCCCGGTGAAAATAAACATTGGTTGATAAATAGATTAAGCTCAATTTGACTTTCCCACCAGGGTTTCAAAAGCGTTGGCTTGTTACTCTTTATTCCATTTATGGTATCACTGAATAATGTCAGGATAAAAGTAGAATGATAAATAGCAAGGTGAATGGTTGCATTATTAAAGGTACTGTACTTCTCCAAGTCTGCTGTGTTCAGTATAAAATTACAACTGACGTAATAAAATACACCTAATGAAACAGAGCTCTATATCTTGGTTAGAGCATAAACTAGATTACAGAAAGCTGTGTAAGAATTTTTATTTCGCCTGCTAGAACTATCTTGGTTTCTTGGAAAATTAAACATTTTCCTGTAGTAAGTATAAAGGTACATTATTGCTTTACCATTATGTTTTCTATATATATGTACTATTTCTATTTTTTGTCTATATAATGACATTTTTATTTTCTCTATATATGGATGTCATTAGCAGAATACACATAAATACACATAAAGACCTTTATTAGGCGATTATGTGTATTGGAAGAAAAATTAATGTGTCTTGGGGAAAAAAAGAATGCAGATGTTAATGTTAAGTTTGTTTGCACTTCAGAATGTATGACCTAGATCCAAATGAAGTTCTGCCATCCTAGTGTGTTTCAAGATGGGCAAATTAAATTAGTGAGTTTATTTATATAGAAAGTAGGAATGTTGCAGGAAATTTTATATAACATAACAATCCACATGCATGTGTGTATTTTAATCACATGTGAAGCCATAACTCAGTTGATATAGCTGATATCATTGCTTTCATGTGCATAACTCTCCATAGATACTATGCAATCTCCAATAAAACTTTTATTTAGTTAAACTTTATAAATTTTGGGTATAAGAGTTGTAGGTATATTTGTCTTCAACATAAGCTAGATTCTTAGGTAATCACATAGACTTCTTTACAACAAATGCATATGTCAAACAATGAGTCTATGAAAATTTTACAGAAGGGAAATTAAAGGTTTACAAGATTTAATTGTGTCTTATACATAACTCAGATTATTACATTTGTTCTCTCAAATCTTACAGAACTTGAAGTCATGCAGAATATGATCAAAATATTACAGTGTAACAGCGTTGACTGTATGAAAAGTAAGTGACTAATAATTTGATATGCTTTACTCTGAAGACAACACTGACAATGAACAAGAAGATTTGCCTTATGATGGAGATCTACAAGACAGAGATCAATATAGTTGTGATTCACTGAATTGGGAAGCATTTATTTCTGTAGAACATGCCTCTCCAAGTGTTTCCACATTGACACCTTCTCCTATGAGCAGCCATACAAAAGAACAATCAGATTGCAAAATACAGCTATCTCAAAGGAAGACAAATATGGCACTGTTGACCAAAAAAAATGACATAGAATTTACCATGACAACAGAAAAGGAAATACAAGTTGGGGGTTTTAACAGTTCAGGAAGAAATGAAGAGTTTTTAAACTCAAAAATGGCAGATGTCCTTTTACGTCATTTTCCAAAAGAAGACTTAACAACATGCCAATTAATTGATTCTGAGACTATCCCAGAGATATCATTTACTGACAGTTTTGATGAAACAGTGCTAAATAAAATTAAGATTTCAGAAAATACAGGGATATTTTGCCCAGAAGAAGAAATAAAGAATATTGAAAGAAAAGTAAATTGTAACTCAGTTGTCAAAAATTGGGATTTGACCCAAGATGAGGCATCTCTAATGCCCGAGAGTGCTAATAATCTTGTCTGTAATAGCAAATACTGCAAAGTGGATAATTCACAATTTGTAATTCAGAAAGAACCTGCAATTAATGAAGACTTAAATTATATCTTGACCCCCAAAGAAGAGTATCAAAACCAAGAATATTTTCTGGAAAACGCTGAATATTTTCATAATCCCAAATACAGTGAGCACCAGGTTTATTATAGGCTTCGTGATTCCTCTGAGATTGCCCCAAAAGCCGAAGAATTAAAAGGAAATAACGAAAGCTTTGTATTTAAAAGAACCAAATCTTCCCTAAATTTGTTTAGTAAAGATGTTCTAGAAGCAATTACATTTTTGGAATCTGATACAATCAAAAATCAAGAAGAAGAAAAAGGAATATTTGAACTCAATCAACAACTAGAGGTAGATTAATTGTGATTTCTCTGCATGTAAGCTAGGTCTGCTTCTATCAGGATAAATTCAATCACTGATTTTTGGGTTAAGTCTCCAAATAACTGCTGAAAGCCTACTTTAAATTTTTGTTAATTTAAGTACCAGGGAGATTCCTTTGGATTCTGGATTTTTTTGGCTGTAATCCTAAATCTTCTTAGTAGGTCCTATTAATAGAATGAAAAATATTTCTTAATATGCACACAATTATAGTGTACTAAATGCAGTCTGACATACATGTGCTGAAGAATCTGTATATGAACTGAAATTTAATGGAGCTCTAACAATTAGAAATTACATGTAAGGATGGTTTCTGATTTTCTGCCAATCCCCCCCCCCCTTTGCTGTAAACCCAGGAGGGTCCTGCAATCAGCCTTTGGATCAATGGTGGCTATGGAAAGAATTGTCATTGTTCTTTATGATAATGACATAAATTATCATTATGATAAACAATAATGACAATTCCTGGGTTCCAAGCCATTAAGCCAGTATAAATTTCTAGCAATATCACAGTAGTAGCTAATTTAGTGGCAATGTACTGGCTCAGGACCTTCTTTGCATGTGGCATTTTCTACAAATTAGCGTTTCAGCCATATTAACAGTTAGGCTCACTTTCCAGTCTTCCTTTCCAATCATACATTTTTAATGTATTTTCCCATTTCATCATATCTTTTTGTATTTTTTTTGCATTCTGTATTTTTTTTTTTAGTTTTTATTGTATGCTCCCTTGAATGTCCAGTTTGGTGGCCATATAGGTCTAATAAACAAATAATAAATAAAGCTGTTTCATATGTGTTATCTTCCTGTCTAATAACATGTGCTTTACTCTGTAATTTTTTTGTGAACCAAACTCTTTTTTTCTTTCTTCACAGTTCTTGTGGTATTTGTTAACAGCTTATGTCTCCTAGAAGTTAGAATGCTTTTGAATATCCTATGACATGGATCAGCAAATCTGCACCTCTGGATACTCAAGTGTCCATCTGCCCCCAAAATGACACCTGCAACCAACCAAAATCAATTAGAATTAAACTCCTTTTAATTCTACACTTCTTAAAATATACAAAACCTTGTAAGATTTGGGCATTGTTATGCAAGATCCCACGAGATCTCAGAGTAAAATTGCTAAAACCTCATAAGATTTCAGGTGATTTGAGGGACTTTACTATAGCCTGAAATGGTGCTGACCCCTGTCTTATGTTATTGTAACAGTACAATTAATGTTATATGTACTGAAAATATTACCCACATTCAAAACTTTTTTATTGTATCTTTTCAAACAATAGATGCTGACAAAACAAGCTGAGGTTCAAAACCATATTGATCATCTAAGGTTTAGTCCTAAGGTAAATCTCCCAGAATAAGAAATTAAATTCATTATTGAGGATAACTTCTTAATAAAAATAATGCATTTTCTTTTCCTAAAGCCCTACCATAAATTGTACATGACACATAGTGCACAAAACTTAAATTCTATTATTCCATGGTACAATGGGCATTTAAAATCAAATTGAATACAAAACTATTAAAATGTCCAGCAGGAAGAATGTTTTTGCCTGGGGCAATGAAAATATTGACATAGATAAAAGTAAGCTTCATAGGGACCATTTTCTATAAACACGGCACCTCAGCTGAAGAAACTCTCACGTATTTAATAACCTCATTTCTGCTTCTGGAAGAGGGCTTCTGAAGGTGAGTAAAGAGGCCACAGTATATACTTAAAGGAAGAGAAATTCCTTGAGATATTCACAGTGTTGTTGAGAACCTCAGTAATCACTATTTTGGAATCTCGGTGTCTGTTCCCAAACTATCTTTTGTGGAGCAAATCATGACTTCATGGTTTCTGTGACAACGTGGGGCTGCTGCAGTTTGTCATTAACATAGTTAGAAATGTCATTTTTGAAATGCTGGGCAGGAAAAATAACCAGCTAGCTGTTATTCTCCACTTTCTTACTGTTTCACCACAATGCTGGTGTCTATGTGATGCCTTAATTTGCTCCCAACTGTCTTCCTCAGCTTCTTCCCTTAGTTCTTTTTTTTTTTCCTCAATTCTGAAAATCGTGCCAGGTGTTTTTTTCAATTTTTTTCCACTTGTTTCAAATAGAAACCAGTTTGTTTGCTTTACCCTTCATTATTCAACAGTCTTAAACTTTATTTATTTCCCTTTCAAATCACCCCATGATTAAAATTATTCATTATAAAATCAGGGACAATAGGATTAATTCCCTAATATATTTTTCCCTCTAACTTAATTTATAATATTTTTTGTAAAATTTTATCTACATGCTTGCCTTGTTTTAGTAGGCTGCTCTGTAAATTTCAGAGTTCACAAAGTGTAACAATGTTTAGAAGTTTTTAATTTAACATGACAAAATTATTGTTTATTTTCTCTCCTGATTTAATATCTTGTTATTGGTTATATTTTATCTGTGTGCTTACCTTGTAAGCCACACTGGAGGTTCTACTCCAGGATGTATATAAATATTTAGAATAAGTAAAGTACAGTAATGTTTAGAAATTGTTTATTTAAATTACAAAATTATTGTTTATAGCTGCTAAAAGGATGGGACAGCTGAGAGAGGCAAGTGAATGCTTTTATTGTTAATGCGGATTTTGTATTTTTCAGTGAATGTCTGTATTTTCACAGATACCTCATTGCTCAAATTCGCATACCTCAGAACTTAATACTAAAGCACAAAGTACTGGAATAGCTTCCAAAATGTTTGTATTTTCACCTGTAACCATACCCGTGGAGGACATGCTTGATTTCTCCCAATCCCCTCATTCAGGTACTTTAATGAGGCTATTCAAAAAAGCAGATTGTTGCTACCCCTAATTTGTTTGCTCTGTATACTATTTATGATAAAATTTTCCAGGCTTTTTATTTAATCTCTTTTTAATTTTGTTTCGTAGAATCACAGTCTAAAAAAATAACTTCATCATTACCGTCAGCTGATACAGTAAGAGGATCATCTGTGAACCCTCCTTTTCTGCAAAATATAACAGATGACAAGGAACAGACATTAAAGAAGCAGACTGAAGAGCTGAAAGCAAATGTAACACTACATGTCTCATTTTTAAATGTTTGGAACTTGACCTATTTTATTAATGTCTCATCTGCATGTTGAAATGCAATGTATTCTTTTCTTTTTTTTTTAAAGGTTGATATATTTTCTGAGTGTATTAAACAGGATGTATTCTCAGTACAAGAACACCTTCAGGTAAATTCACCTTCATATTTACTTTTAAAAGATAGTAGCTCCATTTGAAGATTATGCAGTTCCATGATGTAGATCTAATTGACTTCAGTAAGAACTAAGTTTAATTTACTAAGCAATCCTAGGCCGAAGGGAAAATTACATGGCAGAGATCCATTATTCACACACCACTGATTCACTCCATGCAGGGCAGAACTTGTTGACAGGCAGCATTTTCTCCTTACTTAAACTGGTGTTTTGTTTTGTTTTTTCTAATTTGTTTCAATAAGAGGGAAATTTTAGCAGATTCAGACTAATCTGGGACTGTACCAGAGGAATAATGAAGCTTTAGCTCAAATCTGCCCTTTACACACTCTGTTTTGGCCACTATAGGATGTTCGGTTTTCTTTTTTTTCCCCCGATAAGGAAATGTTTGTCAGTATAGCAATCCCTAAAGTTACTCACATAACAGCACAACAATTGCATTCCATCTCAGTTTTCCTAAACTGGTCTTTGGCAGAGTTAAAGTTGCTATAGCAGCTTGGATTCAGTCTCTTGGCTATATATGCAATAATGCATGATTTTTATCATTTCAGAATAACACGTAAAGCCAATTTGCTGCGTATATTTCATGACGTAAATGGGTGAACAAAAGACTCTTTATAAATATAACTATGACTTGAGTATCCTGCGTTGAAAGTTAACAAAATAGTTTATTTTAAACGTGCACTCAGTACAGTTTTGTAGCACAGAATGGAAACCACTAGTGTACAGAGAATCCCTTAGCCCGCAGTGTCAATATAACTTCTACCGTGCAGACAGGTGTATGAAAATACTGTTTTGTGTGATGTTGCCTCTTCTTCTGTTCATTTGGACTGAGAAGCCCACATGTGCATGGATTTCATCTGCACGAAAAGTGCATGTAGAATTATGCATAGAAAACATGTACAGTAACGTATAATTTGGATATTTTAACAAGACAAGCATGTATTTTCATAGAAGAGGTATTTAAGTGCTGAAATGGCAAAATGATAATAGTCTTCAAGGAATGTGTCTTGATCTGCCATGCTTGGCAGCATTTAAAGCTGGAGATCAGTTTAGAAAGTTTAATGTAAGGTCATTCAGATTTAGTAATTCTGTTTATATTGTTTCTCCCAAAGTTATTAGTATTATATATTTGAGATGCATTTAATATTTCAATTATTTATAGTCAAATTGACATGGAATTAAATGATTTTATTATTTTTGATGAAGTTTTTGCAACTTTTAAAAGAACAACTAGAGCAACTGGAACAGAATTATATAGCTACCAAGGAAAAGCATCATGCTTTGCAACTTCAAAATCATAAGCATTCTTCAAGAAATATTGGAGAATTTGATCCTAACAGGTCCAGTATTAGTTTTTTAAAATAATATAGCTATTAATAAATTTATCTTCACTATTTTCTTAACTTTGCAATCTGGTCCTGTGTACCTAGAAATAAACCTTATTGATGCTTGATTTTAGTTAAGAATATATATTTGAACCCTGTTTTCAAAAAGCATTGAATAGATCTGACCTGAATTTTCTTTCTACTCTGTTCTTTGTGGGAGTAATTCATGTTCAGGGATGCAATTGGGAGATGCGGGTGGTTGGGGAAGCAAGTGAAAATCTTTCCACAAATTGGATGGAGAAGCAGATTTTGGAGAAAATGAAGGTTCAGGTAAAGAGGTATGACAGTTTTGAAATTAGGATAAGTCCTTGAAGAAAACAGCCTTTTATTTAAAAATCCAGTATTTACTGTCGTCATGTTTTCCATTGGGAAAAAAAATACTTCACACTTTATATAATTCTGGATAGTATGAATAAGGACACACCAGAGACAAAATTTAAAATAATTGAATAGGTAGCAACCACCTCACCCCATTGTCACAGTTAAAAGTATAGGAGTAAGAGCAGTAAAGTTTCTCTATGCTTAGCTTTATTATTATTAAAAAAATGTAGGCACCATAGAAAAAGATAGCTGGGGGGGGGGTTTGAAACTGTGCCTTTCGCTAGTTCAAAGTATAGGCCTCATTTTTCTTCTTGGTTCTTTATAGAACTGTCTACCAAATTCCTCCTCCAAAGCTAAATTGTTTCTTGCTAATCTAATTAACATTTTCATGACTGCAGACATTCTGAATTTTACCATTCAACATCACAGTTTTCAGCAAACATTAAACATTAAATATCATAAATTTAGTGTTTCAATTTCTGATTTCTCATTTATTTTTCTGTTCTTCCATATCGTATATCTGATAATGAAAGAACAAAACATATTAATTACATATAATTTGGGGTGGGTTTTTTTTTTTTTTTTGGTATTTGTATTTAGAAAAGTAGAAGGGGAAATATTTAAACTTGGGATGCTCCTTGAAGATATCAAAGAGAAAATTGAGAAGACATTCAGTCCATATTCCTCAACATATATAATATCACCGTCACTCAAACCCCATCAGGCTCCTGCTTGTTCAAGCTATTCTGAGGTAAGCCATTATTCCATATTTTTTAAGTCTTGATGTCCTTTCCTGGAGCTATTACTGCAGCTGATTAGAGAATAAAGAAAATAATGTATTGAAGTCTTCAGTCCAGAGGAATTAAAAAAATAATAATTTTCTGATATGTAGTAGACACTGAACCTTTCGTGTTTTGTTGTTGTTAATTTCTCCAAGAAAACTCTTTTCAAAATTATAGCCTTTTCTATAAATATGCAAATAAAAATTGCAATTTTTCTCAATCATCCAGGTCTTATAGCAAGCCAGGTCATATACCTATAATCTTAATCAGCATTTTGTAAGCAAAAACAGGGCACTTTCAATACCTTTTGTTTGCTGCACATTTTAAGTAGATTATATATTGTGCTTTTTGTATTTCTCTTATTATGCTTCTTTCAGAGTCCTTTGATTAGAAGCATCAGCGAATCTCCAAAAAGGAATGTTGCAGGAGTAAATATTCCCCAAAATGAGAACTATTGGAAGAATCTAAGACATCCTATAGAATTAACTACGCAGAAAGCATATAAAAAATCTATACAAGGTGATAGCAACCATCCCTTCCAGCAAAAGTAAGGATAGAACTTTTATGAGAATCACTGAAGACAATGATTAAATTAAGTAATTATGTTCCTCTGGCTTAGTTGAAATGATATTCCAAGTAAAGTTGTAATGCCTATTACTCTCCAAAGATAAATTGAAAAGTAGACTTCCAGTTATATTTTGAAAGATAAGCACTAACAATGGCTTGCCAGTTGAGATATCTCAGAACACAAGCTGAAATTTAGGCTTGTGTGAAAGAATGGGGTGGATAAAAACTGAAATTATCTAAATATATTAGTTAGGATTCAGAGTGCTCTTTTACATATGACCCAGTATAAATTAAGAATGTTGTTTTTTTCTTCCAACACCAATGGCCATGACATCAGTTTTAGGAAACTTATTTTCCAAGGTGGTTTGCTTTGTATCAGCTTTTCTGGGACTCACATGACTTGTTATACTGGTTATTTCTTTTAAAATTATGCCTGTTACATACAGTGGGGCAAAAAAGTATTTAGTCAGCCACCAATTGTGCAAGTTCTCCCACTTAAAAAGATGAGAGAGGCCTGTAATTTTCAT